ATGAACGTCTGCCGGCGCACCAACACGACAGGGGGGTTACAGGAGGGTAACAATTACAGCAAAAAATGAACGAAAAAAACTTATAGCCGCATAAGCGAAACTTATTGTACGTATTGGTAGAAATATAGAAAGCTTAGAAAATATCGTCTGCCATCTAAATTCCACAACAAAAGTCGTCTGCCACCCACATGAACGCAAAAAAAAAAAATATACCCGCAAGGCTCAAATTAATAATTTTTTGACAAGTGTCAAAAAGAGAAAATAAATATTCCAAGTGGAAATTTTCATTTCCATTTTGAGTGTACGCGATGAATCCTTCTATAATCCCTTTAAGAACTCCAGAACATTAGACTTGAACTTTTCACAATTCATTCTGGTTAGCCTTACAAAAAAAAAAAATTAATAGAAATAATAGCGGTAGTGCTCGGGTATTACATGCCGAACCCAACTTCATAGGCTTGGCAGACGATCTTCATTGTATCTTATTCGTGGCAGACTATTATATTTGTGTTTGTTTCCATAAAAAGAAGTATTTCAATTAATTTCAGCCTTATGGGTATAATTTATTTAATTTTCTTTTTTGCGCTTACTTATGTGGGTGGCAGACGACTTTTGTTGTGAAATTTAGGTGGCAGACGATATTTTCTGAGCTTTATATGTTTCTACCAATACGTACAATAAGTTTTGCTTATGCGGCTATAAGTTTTTTTCATTAATTTTTTGCTGTAATTGTAACCCTCTTGTAACCTCCTGTCGTGTTGGTGCGCCGGCAGACGTTCATATTACTATACGCATAGCACATACAAAAAGAATGAAGCTTGCGGAAATGGTACAATGAAATATATCGTTAACTCCCGGACTATAATATTACCAGCTTGTTGAAAAATCTTTTTCCTACGAGCGTGCGCAAAGTAGTATTTTTCCGCACGCATTTCCGGGCTCAAAGTTACACTTTTCCGCACTCAGTGCGGATACAGGCCTTATCCGCACTGAGTGCCGAAAAGTAATTATAATTGTCAAGCAACAATAAGTGCACCTGTCGACTTTGACACATGATGACAAATTTTTCCTCTATTTCTATATCAGCCAACATCTATACAAACACCAATTATAAATTAACTTTGACACATCAGATTTGTTCTCTATTTATATGCAAAAATCTACAAACTTTCTCATCAAATTTAAACGCTTTAAGATGAACAGCTCTGACGAGGATTTTCTGTTATTTTTTTTTGTTATGTAATTTTTTGATAAATGCATAGGTTCCCTTCAAGTTAATTAAAAATAATTAAACAAATTATCGGTTTTTTTTTCAAATTTTTGTTATTACCTACCTGATATGAAGCTCGTAGGAAAAATTTTGTTCCTAACACGTGCGCAAAGTGTCTTTTCCGCACGCAAACACGTATCCGAACTCCGCTTCGCGTCGTTCGTATAACTGTGTTTGCGTGCGGAAAAGTAACACTTTGCGCACTTGTTAGGAAAATAACTATTTCCTACGAGCGTGCGCAAAGTAGTACTTTTCCGCACGCATTTCCGTTCTCAAAGTTACACTTTTCCGCACTCAGTGCGGATACAGGCCTTATCCGCACTGAGTGCCGAAAAGTAAAAATAATTGGCAAGCAACAATAAGTGCACCTGTCGACTTTGACACATGATGACAAATTTTTCCTATGTTTCCATATCAGCCAACATCTATACAAACACTGAATAGTTAACTTTGACACATTGTCAAATTTGTGTTCTCCATTTACATGCAAGAATTTACAAACCTCTCGCATCAAATTTAAACGCTATAAGATGAACAGCTCTGAAGAAGATTTCAATTTTTTGCTCTTTTTTTTTGTTATGTAATTTTTTGATGATTGAATAGGTTCGCTTCAAGTTAATTGGAAATAGTTGAACAAATTATTTTTTTAAAAATGTTTGTTGTTACCTACCTGATATGAAGCTCGTAGGAAAAATTTTGTTCCTAACACGTGCGCAAAGTGTCTTTTCCGCACGCAAACACTTATCCGAACTCCGCTTCGCGTCGTTCGTATAACTGTGTTTGCGTGCGGAAAAGTAACACTTTGCGCACTTGTTAGGAAAATAACTATTTCCTACGAGCGTGCGCAAAGTAGTACTTTTCCGCACGCATTTCCGGGCTCAAAGTTACACTTTTCCGCACTCAGTGCGGATACAGGCCTTATCCGCACTGAGTGCCGAAAAGTAATTATAATTGTCAAGCAACAATAAGTTCACCTGTCGACTTTGACACACGATGACAAATTTTTCCTCTGTTTCTATATCAGCCAACATCAATACAAACACCATATAAATTAATCTTGACACATTGTCAGATTTGTTCTCTATTTATATGCAAGAATCTACAAACTTTATCATCAAATTTGAACGTTTTAAGATGAACAGCTCTGACGAGGATTTTCTGTTATTTGTTTTTTTGTCAAGTAATTTTTTGATAAATGTTCGCTTCAAGTTAATTAAAAATAATTGAACAAATTATCGTTTTTTTTTTAAATTTTTCCTGTTACCTACCTGATATGAAGCTCGTAGGAAAAATGTTGTTCCTAACACGTGCGCAAAGTGTCTTTTCCGCACGCAAACACGGATCCGAACTCCGCTTCGCGTCGTTCGTATAACTGTGTTTGCGTGCGGAAAAGTAACACTTTGCGCACTTGTTAGGAAAATAACTATTTCCTACGAGCGTGCGCAAAGTAATACTTTTCCGCACGCATTACCGTTCTCAAAGTTACACTTTTCCGCACTCAGTGCGGATACGGGCCTTATCCGCACTGAGTGCCGAAAAGTAAAAATAATTGTCAAGCAACAATAAGTGCACCTGTCGACTTTGACACATGATGACAAATTTTTCCTCTGTTTCTATATCAGCCAACATCTAGACAAACACTGAATATAATTAACTTTGACACATTGTCAGATTTGTGTTCTTCATTTACATGCAAAAATCTACAAACATCTTTCGCATCAAATTTAAAGACTTTAAGATGAACAGCTCTGACGAGGATTTCAATTTTTTGTTATGTAATTTTTTGATGAATGAATAGGTTCGCTTCAAGTTAATTGAAAATAATTGAACAAATTATCGTTTATTTTTTTAAATTTTTTGTTGTTACCTACCTGATATGAAGCTCGTAGGAAAAATTTTGTTCCTAACACGTGCGCAAAGTGCCTTTTCCGCACGCAAACACTTATACGAACTCCGCTACGCGTCGTTCGTATAACTGTGTTTGCGTGCGGAAAAGTAACACTTTGCGCACTTGTTAGGAAAATAACTATATCAGTACATATCTAGGTATAATGATAAATAAATGTCGATTATTTAAATATGTGTGTATGTACAATATAATATGTCACGTGCAAGAAAGTATAACTTTCTGCACTTGATAGGATAATAACTATTGTTGTGCCGACCACCTGCTACTGTTTTGGAGGATTTTGAAGGGTTTTTGTGACTCAGTTGAAGAAAAGTCGTCAAAAAAGTGTGGCAACACTGCTACGGCATCATTGTTCTTTGTGCATCTCTGAGTCGGCACGGTCCATGTGTTTTTATTTTGTGAATTTGAGTATTCCACCTGGCATATTTTTATACTTTGTGAACTTTGGGACCAGGCAGGCATTAGAAAGCAACGGCTTTGATCGGGCAGGCAGTCAGAAATGTTCTTCTAATGCCTTTAACTGTGATATATTTGATTTTCACTCGAAACACGATGAGTCGAATTTTGAGAAAAATTTCAGTCGATTTTTATTTGACAGGCACTATTTGGCAACTGATTTAGGTAGACAGGCATTCGAAATCATACTTGGGGGTGTTTGTTCTATGTTCACACAAATTTTCATGTAAAACGCGATGAGTCGATTTTTGCTTTTACAAAACCTCGTTAAACATTTTTTTATTAATAAACGCAACCGATACGAGCAGGCAGGCACGCGATTTCAAATTGTTCATGATTGATTCTACATTTCCTAAATTTTTCAGCCATAATAAAATCAGCCGGAAATTTTTTCACTGGCTCTTGTACTACAATATCGACTTCTCGACGTACGGAAAGGTATCTAGGATCGTTCAGTATTTGTACGGAAAGTGATCGGGTTGTTCGGTTCAGTAACATATGTTTGGATCTCACCCACCCCACCCGATAAAATGCGGGGTAAATAGAATTTGCAGCCGTCAGCTGTTTTTCTTAACCCAACTTTTCAGTTGTTAAAATAAATGTGGCAGACATTTTCAACAGCAAGAAGCCAAAAAAATGGAAACTTGAAGACTGGAAATTAAAATTAAGATCGGAAAATCAAAATAATGTTTGTTGAGGTTAGGATTTTTGGCAGGGGTTATTTGACAAGATTCATCTGCGGATCCAAGTTCGGGAACCAAACTAGCTCCACAAGATAGTTTAATAATCCTTGAACAGCAGATACTGATCGAACTGATCCTGTCGCACCGCTAGGGGTTTTAACTGCTTGAAAATTCCGAGCGTCATCGCACTATTTGACAGTTTTTTTTTTTTTTAAGTAGGTACATAGTATAATTTAAAGCCTTGAAAAAGGTTAACATGAACCAAGAATGGACAGAGAATTGTTAATTTCTGGAATTCAAACTATTCCAAACACGTCCAGCAATGAATACTACTGGAGAAAACGCGCAGAATCTTGTCGCAATTGAGGATACAGTTGATAAAATTCTCCATATAGGAAGCGAGTTGATTGACTTCATAAACTGCTTTTCTTCTATTTTTTTACCCAAAATTAGCATTGGTAGTCGTGAGTTTTCCTTTAAAGCAAATACTTTCGCAGGGGCGACATTATGTTACCATGAAACTCAATACCGCTCACCAATATGAATACAACAACGCTCTGCATCGCAAGCGTTGGTTGGCATCGCGCAACGCTCGCCGCTTTTGCGGTGTCGATGTGAACGCGCACTAACGCATCCCAATAAATTGTGATACTAATCGCGGAAGCAGGTTCGAACACCTGAAATGTAATACCTTGGTAACCAATATAACAAATTTTCTGAAAAAGCAGCATACAAAAGTTTGAAAAACCTGTCTCAACATGAAATTATATGTAGTTTTTCTTCTATTAATTGCATTTGCTATGATAAATGCTGATAGAAATGAAGGTAGACCAAGACATCGAAGGGGTAAGTTTTTATACTTAACTTATGGTCGCACATAAGACAATATTTGCCCATTTTCCAACTCGCAATTATGGAACATTGGCATTCAGGCAACCAAAATCAATCCTTAAAAAAAATCAAAAATATTCTAGTAATTTTTGCGGTCGGCTCTCTGTGTAATATATAAGACTTACTAACCATCTTTCCTTTGGCCCTCGACCAAAAATATTCACGATTCTGTAAGAGACTTTCTGTGAGCTACAGGAAGCGCAGAATTGCAAATTGTCTATAGGCAGCTATAGGCTCATAGGAAAGTTATAGATTTGCTTAGAAATGTGCACAGAATTGACCTGTGAGTCTAATTTAACAATTGTGTATAGACTTATAAGACTATTATTTTTTTTTTAGCTTGTGGACCACATGCAAGGTTCACTCTTTGTGGTGACGGCAATTGTTCGAAGACTTGCAATACTCACGGGCGTCCAGGACTTCTAAGGCAGCCATGCCACAGAATGTGTGTAGTTGGATGCGTTTGTAACAAAGGTTATTGCTTCGACTTGAGAAAAAGACGATGTGTTACTATAGGAGTCAGATAATAACTGAAACATGAAATTTGAACTATATTGATTTGGTGTTGTAAAATAATATCAATAAACATTTTGATAAAAATATTTAATTCTTTAAATTTTGGGATTGACTGTATGGAGATTAGCCAGAGCTTCATATCTCGTCCAATAAGGTCACTGAGATGATGGTCTGCGAACTATAGCTCCGACTTCCCTCTGACCAGCCACTTTTGCATGAGCACTTCACCTAAACTACTAATAGACCCTGAGATAGGGAGTGTTTAGTGGAGTCATTTTTTTTTGTCTGGCATTTTGAGCTCTGAATGTGGCTACTAAGCTGATGAGAATATGGGTAGTTTTAATGTCGGCCTCCCGTTCGAAAATTTGGAAAATCAATTTTCATTTACATGAAAAATTTTGTTTTTTTATGATGTTAAAGTGTCTGGCATTCGAATAAAAGATTCACAATGATAAATAATCCACCAATTGAAAATGCCAGACGGTTTTTCCACATTTTCTTTCTGTCTGGCAATCGAAAGAATAAAAGGTTCTGTTATGGAAATTACGCTTAAAAATTGCCAGGCGGTGATCACAGTTCGAAATCGAGATTACCGCGGAAGATTATGTAAAGATTTCGGAAAATTTTTAGTGATTTCAATTTGTCTGGCAACGTGGTAAATTAAAGATCACAAATACATTTATAATTGATTTCAGTTTGCCAGTTAGATTGGATATTGGAAAAATGATGGCAGACGAAAAAAAATTGACAGAAAAAATATAAAATTTTCCGCGATTTTTTTTGTCTGGCATTTTGTAATACGTCTACATACACATCTAGAAAATGCCAGACAAGTTAAGTTGATCCAAAATTTATTAAACAGAGATTATTTCATTCATTATAAAATAGACCCATCAGACAATGTCATTTTTTGAATGAATTTTGTTTAAATAAGTGATTATTTCACAAGACCTTGTTTATCAGCGATTAAAGCCTAGTCTCCAGAGACGCGAGATCGCGAATTTTTTTTGCGGATATTTTCCGATTGGTTGGAATTTGACATTTAACATTTGATTTTTTTATGGCGGGAAAAATTCGCGAATTTTTTAACTTCTTGCGGCGTCGCAAAAAAGTTAAGTATTTTTTAACTTTCCGCGAAATTTCGCCAAAAAAAATGAGGTTATGTGGTGTTGCTTTCAGTTTAGTTTTGTTTATGTTTTTGTCGGTATGTGCTCTGCTCTGTGCTCTGTCCTCTGTGAGTCGTTGATGTGTTTTGTACTTGTAGGTACCTAATAAAGAATGGATACTGCCAAAGAATTGAATATTGTAGACCCGGAAACAGACATAAATTACAGCTTGCTGGTTGATGAGAAAGATTATAATAGGGCCTTAAATGGTTGGTAATTCTAATTTTCTCATTTAATATAATTTTAACATCTCTTCTCTATTTAAAAAATTATATAGATGATGCATTTTTGTCGATGTTATTAACACACGCAAAAACAGATGATAACATGAAAGTTTCTGAACAGACAGAGCTTGATGAGGACACTCCAGCGTCTCCAGCAATGGCGAATTTGGAAACTGAGACTGAAGACACTGAAGTCTCATTTATTTTACCCCCTAGGACAAATAAAAATCATGACCTCGAAGAACTATTGATAACAGAGGTTCAAATAAGACCACCATTATGGGATGCTAGACTTCCGTTAGTAGAAAGATCCAAACCCATCCGGGAAAAATTATGGTTGGAAATAATGAGGGCACTTAAGGGTCGGTATTGAATTATTTTTAATTTTTTTGAAAATAGTATATTGTTGTATTAGGAGTAGAAGCTTCACTTTTTTGTGCTGAAGCGGTAGGTTTGCGAGCCGAACGTAGTGAGGCTTGCAATACTGCTGAAGCACAAAAAAGTGCTTCTACTCCGTATGCAACACGCTATTTTTTCTCCAAACGAATGGGGTAAGCTCGGGGGTAACTGAATGGCTGGGCGGCAGTAGAAGTACGAGCGGCACTAAAAGTACTTCTACTGCCGCTCCAGCGGTACCAAAAGTACTTTTGCTGCCGCTGGGGTTGCCAAGCAGCATAGAAATTAAATTTCTGCCACCTCGACAGGTGTTAACCCGCTAGATTTGCCTAGCAGCATAGAAATCAAATTTCTGACATCTTGACAGGGGTTAACAAAGTGACGTTTTCTGACGTTTGGAGAAAATAGGATATTGTGGTATTAGGAGTAGAAGCTTTACTTTTTTGTGCCGAAGCAGTAGGTTTGCGAGCCGAACGTAGTGAGGCTTGCAATACTGCTGAAGCACAAAAAAGTGCTTCTACTCCGTATGCAACACGCTATTTGTTCTCCAAACGAATGGGGTAAGCTCGGGGCTAGATGAATGGTTAAGCGGCAGTAAAAGTACGAGCGGCACTAAAAGTACTTCTACTGCCGCTGCGGTTGCCTAGCAGCATGGAAATTAAATTTCTACCACCTCGACAGTTGTTAACCCGTTGGATTTGCCTACCAGCATAGAAATTAAATTTCTAACATCTTGACAGGTGCTGACAAAGTGACGTTTTTTTGACGTTTGGAGAAAAACTAATTTTTTTTTCAATTTAACGAACAATAGCATCAGTTTCTTTTTTAACAATTTATAATAGGTACCTACCTATGTTCTTTTATAATGTCATGTTTTTTATTAAAAATAATACCTACATAATATGTTGTTTTTTGTACTTGCAGACAGCCAGTACCTACTGTTAACTGTTATTGATAGTTATTTATACACCAAATGAGTTAAATGAATGTTTATTCATGAGAAGAAAGTTCAACCCACGAGCCCTAGCGTGTGGGTTAATTTTCTTTGAATAAATAAACATTTTAACTCACGTGATTTATACAAAATTTTATCTCATTCTGATGGGAATCCAAAAAATAAAGTAAAAGAAATCCAGATAAAAATAATTTATTAAGCGGCTTTTTAAAGGTAAAGTGAGTTAAAGTATGCCGAGAGTGAAATATTTTTTCTACAGACGTGCGGAAAAATCAATTTTCCGCACCGATATCCCTTGCGGAAAATAAGCTTTTCACCACGTCGTGCGGAAAAACAGTTTTACATACGACCCAGATTAAAAAATTGTTGTCTTGTTAATAAAAATTAGTTACGTAATGAGTTTATTACATCACTAGTGATTATAATGAGCTCATTACATCACTAGTACGATAATACAACTTATTACGTAACTCAAACAGGCTAACAGTAACATAATAAGCTGTTATAGTGTGGGTCGTATATAAAATGTTGTACATCACACGTACGGTAACGCTCATTACAGCACTCGTGTGGTTACCACGACTCGGTCTACGACCTCGTCGAACCAATCTTCCCCACCCGTTACTGTAATGAAGCTCATACCGTACTAGTAATGTAAATAACTATTTCAGCACTCGGCTATTCCACCGAACTCCGCTACGCGTCGTTCGGTGAACGGCAGACTCGTGCGGAAAAACTGATTTTCCGCACTTGTTAGGTAAATAGCTATTAATTCACTGAGCTGATAAACGTCTACTTACCTTTATTGTTATGCGTGGAATAATTTTTATAGTATATCTGCCCAAATTACCTAGATATACCTATTTTTGTGATGAACTTTTGAAAATTTGATATATTATTATTATTATGCTGGGCTGTTTTTTGTATAGAGGTATAGAGCTCTATAAATTGCAGATTTTTTTTTTTTTTAGATAAATATCCTAATATTGACGTTACTTGTCTCCAAAAAAAGTGGAAAAATCTGAAAGACACTTATCTTAAAACTAAGTCAACTGTGGAAGCTTACATACCATCAGGTAGTGCTGCGTTGAAAAAAAAGAAAGTTTGGAAACATTACGATAATTTACAATTTTTAAGTGATATTATGATTGTAGGAAGGTTAGTATAGTTATTAACGTTACAAGGCTGATAAATAGCAGATAAAAGCCGAGGCTGAAGTTTGGAATCCGAGCTAGGCGGCAGCCGAGGATTATAATCAGCCAAGGTAGTTATTTGCAATTATCGGTCGTGTTTCGTTCTAGATTTTTCGTCATACTGCAGATTTTGCAAACATTACATTTTTTTTTCTGTTTTGATACTACGTCTAGCTACGCTAATAATAATAATAAGGCGTCAGTATCAAAAGAACCTGAAAAAGAAATTATACCGCCACGTCCCAATAAACGTGAACTAATATATAATAATTATTGTACCTATTTCGAATATTTGTAGCTTGTATAATTTATAGGTAAACTTCCTGCAACACAGAAACTGGACTCACCACAAAAAAAAAATTTAAAAGCCATTGAGAAAATATCAGAAACCCCAGAGCCTGAAGAAGACAAAATTAATCCCATTTGCCTTAAAATTTCTACTATGCTGGCATTTGACTTCAGTCAACCCTACCTTTATAAAGCATTATTGTACAAAAAACTATGTGTATTTTTTTATGTGGATAACTAGAATTTTATTTAATTACACTTTCCTATTTATTTCTATTATAATAATACAAAAATATATGTTTGTTCAATAACATATTTCATTGTTTCAAACTTTTCATACTCTATTCCATTGAAATGACAAAGCTCCATCAGAGCAGAAATGCAATGCTAAAGTTTCTCTGACACTTCCAGCATCTGCATTGTACATGTTGCTTCCTAGGCGGCCTAAGTGACATAATTCTTGCTTATCAGCTCTCCATAAACCAGGCGTCACATTTCCTAGTACATCTTCAGTTTCAAGATAATCGATAGGGCAATATTTGGCATTCTGTTGTTTGTTGCTCATCAGCCAGTTATGAAGAACAACAACTGCTTTGGTGGCATTCTCAATAGTCTCCAAAGAAGCTATAATAGGCTTTCTTAAAAGTCTCCATCTAGCTACCAATATTCCAAGGGTATTCTCACTAACTCTCCTAGCTCTGCTTAGTCTAAAAAAGATAGGAAAAATGAACAATTGTACCTACTAGTTAATATGGTACCATAAGTTTAAAGAATGAGTGTTTGCTTAAATGAAAATTAATATAAGTACAATAGACATTTACCTATAATTGAAAACCCTCTTATGCAAAGGGAGAAAATTTTCT